TGAATATGACGAACAGGTTTCCTATTTCCTGGAGTAGGAAAACGGTATTTTGTGAAATCAAGGGCAGGTGGCTCCCACTTCCTAGATTTAGGATGAGGGGTCGCCTCTCGCCCTTGAACTGGCTTCCTCTTCCGTGAAGTGGAGGGTTTCTTAGCCGACTGCTCCTTGTCCAGAGCAGGCGGCTTCTTGTTGATCAACTCTTGAATTTCTCCCTTGAAGTCCCTCATGAAGGTCATGAGTTCGTCCCTTGTGATGGGAGCAGACCCATCAGTCGGCTGCTGCCGAACAGGCGGTGCGCCTGCTGGCTCGCTTCCAGTTTGAAGATGTTCCCGTTCCCTCCTTTCGGTATGACGGGTACGTCGGGCCGTTAGGGTCCCGTCTGAAGCTGTGTGAGCTTCAACTTCAAATTCATTCTCAGTATCGCGGTCCGACTGAACTAGAGGATCGTCCAGGGGACGTCTCTCTTCAGGAGCCGGTACAAACGTGGGTGCCATCTCAGAAGTACTCTCCCCACAGACGGCGCCAAAATGTTTCGGGGTTTTCTGATGTCCTGCGGGAGAGTTACAATTCTGAGACTGGAACCGGACGCCTGTACCTGCAAAACAACAGAGACTCCTGGTGGTGGGAGCTCCGCCTCCAACGGTCAAGTTAGTACTTGATTAAGGAGTAATTAATGCGGAAATTAAAGTGATTGGGTCTCTCTAGGTGAGAGTGTTTAATGTGTGTAATCTGCGTTGTTCGCGTAATCCCTCTTAATGAGGATTAAGGGAGGTATTTATAACCTCGGGAAACGTGCCAATCTAGGTTTAGGTTAACCTTGGGCTGATTGGGCTTCCCTCGGAAGTTGGGCCTAGGTGACCGGTTATCCCAGGTGTCATGGGAAGGACACGTGTCGTGTCGTAATTGGTCCAAAGTGGACGGATCATTGCTTGACACGTGGCAGACTCCTATTGGCCCATGTGACGGACACATGGCGGAACCTGATTGGTCCACTTGTCAGATGGTGATTGGTGGGGAAAAATCCCCTAATCAACTACTTTCTAAATTTCACTAATTTTACCGTTTTTTATCGCTAAGTTGTACAACATATTTTAATAAAATAGTAGTCCTTTTGCAATAAATATTATCATCAAATATATTAAGAATACTATAATAAGTTAATGATACAAGGTTAGTTTTATATGAGCAATTTAAAATTTTTATATAGATTTCACTATTTTAGGCTTTATATTTCGGATATCTTTTGGATATCGGGTATTTGAAATTTTGAAAATTAATATCCAAATCCGCATTTGATATCCACCTTTTCGGATCGGATATCCGATCCAAAATGAAAACTCGGATCGGATATCCAAAAATTCGGATCAGTTGCAGATCGGATTATTGGATTTTCGGATTCTCAGATAGTTTTGTACAGGCCTACGCATGACACATGTCACTTTTAAAATAACCGGTATTTGGGATTGAAGAAAAAGAAAACCCCCCAAAATTCGGATTATTCCAAAATATATGAAAGTTGGGATTATTCTCCCAAAATTGATGAAAGTTGGGATTAATTTTTCTAATTTTTCCTATAAAAATTTGGTCTTTTAAGAGTGATGAAATTCAAATTTTCTTAAAACTAATTACTACTTGGTATACAATAAGACTTTTCTCCATATCACTTTCTTTTTTTTTTTTTTTTTTTTTTTTTTTTTTTTTTTTGAATTGAATTGAATAGGGCTCAGACAGTCGCACTCGCACACAATATTTGCAAGAGAAAGAAGTGCATTAATCTGAGAAGTGTCGCAATTACGAGTCTCACTACCATGTCTTCTCCATCAACTACACCCATCCGCCATTTTTGAATGGCCTCCAAAATCTCTCCTCTTCCCTCAAAACTTAAGCAATTTTCTCTCTCCACAACACAGTTCGTTTCACTCTTGGAAAGCTACACCAACACTCGATCCCTCTCTAAAATCAAGCAACTTCACGCTCACATCATCAGTACTGGTATACTTTCTCTCTCCTCTTTCAAACCCTTTACTCTTTGCTCTAATCTTGCTTCAAGTTATGCTCTTTGTGGTCATGTTGCATATGCATGTAAGCTGTTCGACGAATTGCGTCAACCAAAGTTGTTCTTGTATAATGCCGTTATTAGGGCGCATTCTCAAAGTGGTTCGCCATTTGAGGTTCTTAAGCTTTTTGTTGATGTATTGTCATCTGGGTATTTGTTTCCTGACAAATTTACATACCCTTTTGTTATTAAGGCTTGTGGAGACTTGTTGTTGCTTAAGACTGGTGTTGTGATTCATGGGAAAGTTATAACTGGTGGGTTTGGTTCAAATTTGTTTTTGTTGAATTCTTTATTGGCTATGTACATGAATTGTGGTGCGGTTGAGATGGCGAGGCGCGCTTTTTATGTGATGGGTGAGAGGGATATGGTGTCTTGGGCGACTATGATAAGTGGGCTTGTTAAGAATGGGTGTGCTAATGATGCTCTAGTGATCTTTGATGAAATGATTGGTGTTGGTGCAGAGCTTAATAGGTCTGCTGTGTTATCTGTGTTGTCTGCTTGTGGGGATTTAGATGATTTAACTTTTGGAAGAAAGGTTCATGGGATTGTTGAAGAGAGAGGACTACGAGATGATGTATGTGTATCTAATGCGTTGATTAATATGTATACAAGATGTGGTAGCATGAATGATGCTAGAGAAGTGTTTGACAGGATAAAGGAGAAAGATGTAGTGACATGGACCTCTTTGATGAAAGGGTATGTTATGAATGACAATGCTAGATATGCATTGAACCTTTGTAGGTTGATGCACCTCGAAAAAGTGGTGCCTAATTCAGTGACTATTGCTATGTTGCTTCAGGCTTCTGGAAGTTTGCAGGCAGTGAAACATGGCAGGTGCTTGCATGCTTGGGTAGTTAGGCGAAATCTTTTCCGTGATGCAATAATTGAAACCGCTTTGATTGACATGTATGTGAAATGCAATCATGTCTGTTATTGCTTTTTAATTTTTGATCAAAGTTCACAGAAGAGAGTAGCATCCTGGAACGCAATGATTTCTGCATATACATATAATGGTTTGGCGAGTAATGCAGTACACTGTTTTAAACAAATGTTGCATGAAGCAATACGTCCTGATGCTATTACTTTTAGTAGTCTCCTTTGTGGTTGTTCTGATTTAGCTGACAGACAACAAGCTTTTAGTGTTCACAGCTACATGTTAAAATCTGGATTTCTCTCAGAATACGAAGTTTTGAGGGGCCTGATTGATTTATATTCAAAATGTGGAAGCTTGAAGTATTCTCAGAAGATATTCAGTGAAGTTCCACTGGAGTGCAGAGATATTACTTTGTGGGGTGCACTAATGGCTGGATATGGAGCACATGGGCATGGTGAATATGCAGTTTTACTTTTTAAGCGCATGGTTCAATCTGGAGTTAAACCGAATGAGGTTACCTTCACCTGTGTTCTGGATGCGTGTAGCCATGCTGGTTTAGTAGATGAGGGTCTTGAGCTGTTCACATTGATGCTCAGAACATGCCAAATTAATCCCAGCATTCATCATTATACATGTATGATTGATCTTCTTGGTCGGGCTGGTCGTTTGCAAGTAGCATATGATTTGATCATAACAATGCCGTTTATGCCTAATCATGCTGTTTGGGGTTCTTTGCTGGGTGCTTGCATGGCACATCAAAATGTTGAACTTGGAGAGATTTCGGCAAAATTACTTTTTATTATGGAGCCAGAGAACATGGGTAATTATGTCTTGCTGGCAAACATATATGCTTCTGCAGGCAGATGGAAAGATGCAGAGAATATGCGTTCGATTATAGATAAAGTTGGATTAAGAAAGACGCCTGGTCATAGTTTGGTCGAGGTCAAAGTCAATTAGGTAACCTTGGAAAAAAATGAGGATAGGTAGGGAGCTCCTAGGGGTCCAGTGCAGTTCTTGTTTTTGAAGCTTGCTTTTGGTGTTTAGTTCTAAACCAGGCCATCTCTTAAGATCTGAAGCAATTCACGAATCATGGCATCTGATATTCTGATCCATGCTTGTATAACAGTTATCAGGTAATGAAAGCATATATTTTTAATGAATGGAAATCGCACTCTCTTTACACCTCCTTCCTCTTCATAATACATATGCTATACTACTTTGCAACTATTATCAGATTGTGGAGATGTTGTAGTCCTTGACTTTATTGTTTCAAAAAGTTGCAGGTGCAAATGGTTGGCGATTCATAGCTAATTCTGACGTCAAGTTCTGCTTTTCAAAGAAAGCCAGTAAAATAATAGGAAGACCATATTCCATTTTAAGCAGAGCCTAATGGAATTTATGAAGTATGATTTAATCGGAACAATGGATGTGACCGTGATATAAACTAGGTAACCTTAACCTTTTTGCAATGCTTCTTACTTTCATAGCTTGGATTCCAAATCATTTAGTTTCAGAGCATTTGTGTCACATAAGGGCGGTATTAGGCACTGTTGGTCTTTATTAGGGTTCTCAAGATGCGTGTTGTGCACGATTCTGGAATATTCTTCCTTTAGGGTTTAAATAAGGGTATTTTGGTAATTTCTGCATTTACTGAATGTGGGCCCACAAGGGGGTCCAAACATTAGCCCCACGGCAAATTCGTGAAGCCTGCTTTGCTGTTTGGGAGTTTGTCAGAAAATAATCTTTGCGTGAGTACAAGAATACACGTGAGTGCGAACAAATCGAATCCCGAGGTAGGGCATTAGTCGAGCTTGGGGATGGGCGAGCCTAGCCTAGCAGCCTAGGCTAGGCGATCTTGGTATGGGCGTGCTTCCTAGGTGAGCTAGCTACCTGCCAGCGAGCCTGCTAGGCGATAAAGTTAGGCCTAGACACTATGGGCTCGCGACATGCTAGGCGAAAATGTTAGGCCTAGTGTCACGGTCCGGGAGTTTGGACCCTGAAATGTGCGGCGCGCTCTAGCCTTTTGGTGGCAAGAACACTAGCCTTGAGCGGAAGGGCTTGTGAGCACAAAGCAACACAAGCGGGCAATTAAATCCAAGGAGCATTCACGTCTATTTGGGCGACGGAGTGCGGGTGGTCGGGGCTTGTGGTGGCCGATACTTCAAGGCGGGCACAAGCGGGTCCGAACCACGAGTTCTTAATGCATCAAGTTGGTTTGGAGGGGAGCTATTATGCAAGTAAGACACAATATCTATAAAGGTCTAACAACAAACAAGCATAAAAGCAAAGCAACACTTAGTAGAAGGCTTAAGATTTCATTAATTATTCACCCTCTAAAGAGCTTTAATTTAATTACAAGGAGAATCCCTAGTGAACAGTGAAGTGACAGTAACACAATAATTGGAGCTCAAGCTAAGAAAATATAAACTAAACTCTAAGAAAGCATCTAAAGGGAATCTAATACATCAAAAGGAGTTGGATTCTAACACCTAGCCACCTAAAGGTTGTGGGCTGGCGACATGCTAGGCCCTAGGCGGTGATATCCAGCCCTGGCTGAACGAGCATGCCTCGCGCTATCTGGCGATGATATGCCGCGCGCCAGCATGCACTTTGGCGATGACGCGGTGCTCCTCCAGTAGCATTGGGCGATGATGTGTTGTGAGCCAACTCGAACCAGCCCGCGCCGGGAGATGAATTGCAACCTCTCGGCTCGAGCGACGATGTGAGTGGCTCCGGACCTTTTCATTGCATTTTAGCGTCCATTCGCCTCAATCGATGAAGTGTTTTTGGGACCTTTATGCCCTGTGGGCGATGAAATGTCATGGACACTTTCCTTCACCATCAAGCATGGTTCGAAAATGCAGTTTCGGTCGCGATCGCGGAAATGGTCGCGGTAGTTCGGTAACGAAACTGATGCGTTGATCGCAGAACGCGTTGCAGTTGTCACCCTAATTTATTTTATGTTAGTTTTTATAAGTTTTGTAATAAATTTTCTCATAATTTTCGAAAATCTTATTTTTTAATATATATCCCCATTTTATATCTTGTACAGTATTACAATAGTGCGGTGTACAAGTATACAATATACGTAGTAAACTTACTACTCCCTCCGTCCCAAATTAGTCGCAACGTTTTGACTTTTTGCACTATCACACATCTCATTTTTTTTACCATCTTTTTTAGCTATTATCTGAAAGCCAATGTAATCATATAATATGTTGTTGGGTCTATTTTAATGTATAGTTTGTCAATATAAATTTTTAATAGCTTATATAAGTATATAATAAAAGATATTAATGATCAAACATGTGCATCGGCAAGTGTGTCCAGTTAAAATGTTGCAAGTAACAGAGGGAGTACTTCATAAATGTAATAAAATAAAGTATAAAAGAGTACAATAGTTATTAGAAAAGGAAGTCGTGTGGGGGAGAAGGAAGAATAAAAGAGAGAAGAGGAAGAGTGATGGCTGGTGGAGTCAGGTCAGAAGTCAAAAAATAAAAAGAGGTAACATACAACTGTCACTATTCAGTCCACTCTCCAATTTTTGTTTTAAAGACAAAAAAGATGTGATAGTTTTCATTGACTTCCATGGAGAAACAGATTCCTCACCGGAAAACTTATACTTTGGGTTCTTTTTCCTTGGATTCTCTGTCAGGAACGCTTGATGCGGCCGATTTTCAATTCATAACGGCCGTGATGGCCGAAATTGCGTAGCGTTGAAATGCAGCGTGCTGAATCGGAAAAATTTGGTTCGGTAAAATTCAAATCCGTTACAAAACAGCCGATACGTAACGATGCGGCCGCATTTTAAAACCCTGCCATCAAGAATGCTTAAAAAGGACCCATTTCATCTTTTTTGGTAGTGGTCTTGCCCGTTGCTTGGTAAATTTTGACAAAAATTCGGTGGTCATAACTTGGGCTTCGGGTGTCCGAATTGAGCAAACTTTTTTTTCTTTTCAAATTGTGTATTTTTTCGAGCTCTATGCAGCTGCAAATTCTCAGGGGTATTTGGTCCAACGAAATCGTGAAAAAGGCCTCTAGCATGGTGAACATGCCATTTTTCTGATCATGGTCTTGCTCTAAGACATAGAATTGGATGGTGTAGAGCACGATGATGCGCTCGGGTCATCCCTTGGGGATGGATGGGCGACAATATGTATGACACCCCTTGGGGCTAAGAGCCCCTTGGATGGACGGTGATATGTTTGACACTCCTTTGGACGATGATATGTATGATTCCCCTTTGGGCTAAGAGTCCCTTGGATGGACGATAATATGTATTGAACTTTTTGTGCACAATTACGTATATTGTACGTATTCTCTGAACTCTTTTTTGCATGATTGACAACTGTCTATGACACGCGTGGACCAAATCGATTGTACCAAATCGCGGTTAAATTTTCGAAGCATACATTTCACTATATATAGCAAGTTTCTTATTCATTTTTCATTCACATTTACCTTGTCTGGGTTGTGAATACCTAACAAATCCAACTACACGTCAAAGTGGAAGCAACAAATGCTACTTTCATGACAGGCTCTCCTAAAGGGCTCCCCCTTGACAACTTACTAAAAGAAGGTGAATAAGAAGCCATTAACAAGAAAGAAAGCATAAGGAAACAAAGGCGTACCTTAAAAGATAGTGTCTTCCAATTAAATTAAAATAAGCACCTCTCTCTTTACAAAGACTTTCCTTGCTACAGATTTTGAGATTGAAATTGAGAGTGAGAAATGAATAAGGAACTGGCTATATTTAGAGAAATATATACTTCGAAAAGTGAACTGCAATTTGGTTCAATCGCTTTAGTCCACACACGTGTTACAGACACTTATCAATCATGTAGAAAAGAGTACGGAGAATACGTACAATTTTACAAAATTGTGCACAAAAAATACAATACATATCATCGTCCATCCAGGGGGGTTCTTAGCCCCAAGGATTGTCATACATATCATCTTCCATCCAAGGGGTTTTTAGCCCCAAGGGTTGTCATACATATCATCGTCCACCCAAGGGGCTCTTAGCCCCAAGGGGCGTCATACATATCATCATCCATCCAAAAGGCTCTTAGCCCCAAGGGGTGTCATATATATCACTGCCCTTCCAAGGCTTTTTGTTGTTACAGGGAAGCAAACAAACAAAATATATATTTACAGTTGTATTTTTCCATGAAAATTGTATTTCATAATCATTTTTTTGAAAAATGTTTCCGTCACTCAAGGAGACCTAATAAGTTTCAGTGTATCATCTTTCCTGTCTCCATAGTAAACCATTTCCATTTGTGTTTAGTTGTTTACTCTATAGATTCCTTCACTTTATTTTCCTGTATCATGAAAAGTACTGCGTATTAGATTAGGAATCGGGGGATCTCTATGAATTGCTGTGAGTTTCAACTTGTGCTCTTTTGCAGATCACTCTGACTTGTAAAACAAAATTCTGCAAAAGGCAGGACAGGTTTATGTGGTGAATTCAATCTTGGATTAAAATCGTTTTCTTTGATAAACAGCCATTGGTGTACTTGACAAGAGTCACAGGACAACTTCGCCCGACTTTTATCTGATGTAATGTACTTATGTACTATTACTGCAGTGTTAATGAATTGGGGAGGGGCTCCTTCGTTTTCCTGATGAGACTGTGATGCTTTTGTGGAGTTGACATTTTACATTTTAAGGGAAGATATGGACATCCACTGGTAGAGTAAGTCATTGAATGTCTCAAACTATGTGTTTTGTAATCAAAGTATTAGTAGAGCACTAGAGCCAAACTGTTCACTTTTTACAGATTAATTGTCCATAAGCCCTATATCATGTAGTTGCAGACCCTTAAGAGTGTATATAATGTCAATCACCTCTATGAATTATTTGGTTGGTTTATTTCTGTTAGGCATAATGCTGTTCATGGTTGTTGAGTTTCTAGAACCAAGTTTGATGAGTGTTAACTCTCACTTGTGTTTGTTGACTTGATAATATTTGGAAAGCAGTAAATTTATGCACTTAGTGCTCCTTAGTTTATCCTAAGCAACAAATTGGGTCTCGCGAGGAAGTTATATAAGTTGAGGTTCCTAAATTTTTAGTATGTCAAGTCTAGAAATAGAAAAGGGGATAAGGAAAAACTTGGACAGAACTAAATTATCCAATTAATTTACCCTTAGAAATCTGTTAACTGTACACATTTTAGGATACGGTCGTCTAATAGTATAAACTTTCATAGTTTATATACACTAGATTTCCTTTGCCAAGTAAAGTGTCCAGATTTTGAGGAGAGAACACTGCTTTGTTTCGTTATATTTCTTCAGTATAAAATCTGAGTGATTCCAAACACAAGGTAGGCTATGATGAAGTTTCTCTTGCAGGTTTTACAGTTGAGAAAACTATAACACTTTTAGAAACTCTGAAAACACAACTGAATGAATCAAATTTCTTTTCTCATTGGATTCTTCTATAACCGTTGAGATGGGTTAGTGGGATAAAGGATTTTTAAATATGGCCGCTGTTGCTGCTAAGGGCCTGTTGTCATTGGTAAGACCCCGACCATAAAAGACTTGAACACTGACATTGCAAATCAGTGGAAGGTTAGTCATCCTCCTGTGTCTTTACTTCTCCATGATGCTCTCTCTCTCAGTTCCCCTCCTCAATCTGCTAAGGCTATTCCTCTTTGCTTACAGGGTACTTACAGTTGAAAGCATTGGCCGCTGATTTGCGCACACCCCAACTTGATAACTGCACACCCCTTTGGCCCCACTATAAGGTAATTTCCTTTTTTCCTTCTAATTTGCACTAAGTCTCACGTGCCCAATGTTAATATTTTACTTTTTTTTTTTAATTTTATTTTTTTATTTCGACTTTTGTGGGTAAATTACCAACTCCCAAAATCATAAACATTGATTTTGCTTTTTACTCCATCCCCCTTTTTACACTCCAGTACTCGCACCATTAATTTGATACCTCAAAAGCTTCTACCTTTTATGGAAATTCACCTTTTTAATATATCTTAATTGTAATTGCACTTTATTATAATTAAGAAGATGGATGGAGAATTTGATTTTGAAGGGATTAATGATAATGAATTTTGGGAGCTTTTTGGGCTAGATGACTTGCCGAATGTACTAGAGGAGAATGGCCATGAAGACTGCAATTCTTCACATTCTCATATTAATGGTAATAATTTTCAATATTGATCTATTTTTTACAAGCATCTTTGTAATTGGGGTTGGATTTCACTCAATTATACAATAAAATTATTCTAGGGTTTTAAAGGAAAATTTTCATAATTCTTGATAATGAGTCAAATTGATTCCAATATTGTTATACCTTAGTATTAAATCAGTTTATTTGCAAATTATATGTCTCAATTTCAGCTTTTTAAGGTTTGGTGATTAAAAATAGTATAATAAGCTAGATTAGTTTAATTTTAACTTTGGTGTTAATCAAAACCAAAAGAGTACAATTGCAAAACCAAAAGAACAAACTCGTATTATCGAACTCTCAGCCATAGGCTAAGTGTATATTTTTAATGGCTTTTTGATTATTCAAAACATAATTTTGTGACTATTCTTGTTAATTTTTTTTTATTGTATAGGTTCACCAGAATTTGATAATCATCAACCTCCTCAAATGCCCACTGATATGTATCAACTTTCATCCCAAAAATTTTCAAATAGAGAAATATTGTTGGAGACTGTTCGAGGAATGGCCTACTCACTAGGCTTTGTTACAGTGATTCAAAAATCCAAAAAAAAAAAAAACAGATGGGTTATTATTGGTTGTGATCATGGTGGATCATATCGAACTAATCGTAGTCGTATCCCTAATAGTGGAAAGAAAAAGTCAGGAACTCGATTAATGAATTGCCCATTTCAAATTTGTGGAAGAATGAACCAAGGCACTAGTTGGAGAGTCGAAATTAAATATCTTTCTCATAACCATAATTTATCAAGTGATATTTCGGGACATCCTTATACCCGGCGTTTCTCAAGGGAGGAAGTTAATGAGATTAAAGAGATGATTGCTGCCGACATTGCTCCACGGCAGATACTTACAAAACTTCGAAAAGGTAACTCTAATCTAAAAGCAATATCTAGAACACTTTATAATGTGAAGGCTAAAATTATTAAAGATGGGCTAGGAGGCCGTTCAATGATCCAAGCTTTGATGGATGAACTTGGTAAAGGTGGTTTTACGTATGATGTTGAGTGTGATAATGAAGGACATGTGACACATTTGTTGTTTTCTCATCCAAGTTCGATTGAATTAGCAAGAATTTACTCATATACTTTTGTGATGGACTGCACTTATAAGATTAACAAGTATAAAATGCCTTTACTTGATATTGTTGGAGTTACTAGTTTTAATACATCATTCTTTTGCGGTTTTGCCTTCTTATTTAAAGAGGAGGAAAGTGATTATGTGTGGGCACTACAAAAATTTGGTAAGATTTTGGGTTATGATAAACAACCATCGGTGATTGTGACTGATCGAGAATTGGCTTTGATGAATGCAATTAAAGTTGTTTTCCCTAATACTTGTAATTTGTTGTGTGTATGGCACATTGAAAAAAATATTTTAGCAAAGTGCAAGCCTTTTTTTGATGATGGTGATGAATGGGATGTGTTTATGTCCGATTGGACAAATTTGATTGATTCTTCAACTGAAGATCAATTTAATGAAGCTTGGTCTGAAATTGAAGTGAAGTATGGGAAGTACAGGGATATTCTCATTTACATTCATAATACTTGGTTTCCATGGAAAAAATATTTTTTTAGAGCATGGTCAAGTGAATATATGCATTTTGGACATGTTAGTTCTAGAGCTGAAGGTTCACATGCTACTTTGAAGAAATACCTTGAAGTTTCGAGTGGTGACCTTCGCACAGTGAAGGAAAAAATTTGTCATGCTGTTGATCATCAATATAATGAGATTAAAACACAATTGTCAAGTGAGAAGATACGCATTCCTCATGACTTGCGTATCCCCTTCTTAAGTAAGCTCATAGGTCATGTTTCTCATTTTGCATTAAGAAAACTCCTTAACCAATTTGAGCTAGCTTATTCCGATTCTCTGTCTCCTACTTGTATTGGTCAGTTTTCAAAAACTATGGGTCTCCCTTGTGCTCACGTGATGAGAAGGATGACAAATGAGGATTTAAAGCTTGACACCATTCATTACCAGTGGAGAATGGACAACATATCACTTTCAAAGAACGGAGAGAATCAAGATGTTCATGGAGATCGGATTGATGTGCTTGTACAAGAGTTACAACTCAAATATCAGCAATTGCCTCTTACTCAAAAAGAAGGTATTCGAAAACAAATTTCTCAATTTGTTAGTCCTTCAAGTCCTTTGGTTCTTGAACCCATGATTCGTCAATCTAAAACTCTTGGAACTAATTCAAGAAAAAAGAAAAAACAAAGTTCTTCTACAAAGAAGGATCCTTCAGGTTTTGAGATGGTCGAAAAGGTCAGAAGGTGCAACATGTGTGGCAACATGAATCATGATCGTAGAAGATGTCCTAAAAATACTACTCAAAATTCTTCAATGTCCTTCATGCCTCCAATTTTGAATGGCTTGCCTAGTCCATCCACCTCTTTTGTTGTTGATTTGAACCTTTTGCCTCCAAACTCAGATTATAATAACCCATCGTAAGGTAATTTTTTTTTTTTTTTTGATAAGTTGTGTTTATATTGTCATGATATTGTATTTATTATTATATAAAGATATTATATTAACATGTTTAATTAATATTATGAAGGTCGAGAATATTTGATATTATGTGATGTCCACGATATAAAGTGCAAAGACACTAATTAAGGTAATTTTGTTTTTTTTTCGTAGTTTGGTTATCTTTTATGTTTAATTGTCTAAACTAATTATTATATGTTATTGTAGTTTTGTCGTAATGGATGCAGGTTTTGTCATTGGAGTAGTTAATTTACTAGCACAAGATCTTTGGATTAGCTTTGGTTGATAAATCGTATTTATGTAATTTTTTGAGACAATATTTGTTGATTTAACTTTTACCCAACTTTTGTATTTTTTTATAAACTTAATTTGAGATAATCATAGCTATTAATTTAAGATGTTTAATAGTATATAATATCAAATTGATTATAACGTTAAAATTTTTTGAAAGAAAAAAATTGTCATTTTATATTTATGTAAAAAAAAATAAAAAAATAAAAAAATAAAAAAATAAAAAAAAAAAAATTCAAACTTGACTCAAGGTTGAAAACTACTGCCGTTGTACAAGAAATACTTAATACTAAAAAAAATGGAGTATTAATGATAGAAGAAAAATAATGCATAAAGTAAAAAAAAGGTCAAATATCAATTTGCTTTCTCACTTTCTCACGTGCGTTAGAAGTAAAAAAAGGATATTATCTTATAGTGGGGCCAAAGGGGTGTGCGGTTATCAAGTTGGGGTGTGCGCAAATCAGCGGCCTAAAGCTAGGGGTGAGACTTGAATCAACTCTATTTTGTTGTTCTGATATACTCCTTGATTGGCTAACCAATCAGCCGCTCTATTAGCTTCACGGTAGATATGCTTGACTTCAATACCCCATGATGGGTCAGCTAGAAGGTCTTTGCAATAGTAAAGGGGTGGAAAATAATTTGTCCAAAGGTACAGAGTAGTAAATAGTTTTCCTAATAGTAGAAAATGTTTTCCTTCTAAACATTTTCCTCCTTACATCCCTTACTTCTCTTGTCATCTATCTTCTCTTTTCCATTCATATTTTCTCCTTCCTGTATAATTTTTTTTATAAGGAAACAAACAAAGAAAAACTATTTTTACAATTAAGGTTTTCCCTAGAAAATCATTTTTCTAAAAAGTTGTTTTCCGTTGAAATAAAACGGAGCCTAAGTTTATTTAAGGTACACTTTTATCTATCATATATTGGGTTTAAAAGATTATTTCAAAGGAATATCGACAAGTGTAACTCACATGGACAATTGAATTGTTTGATAATGAGTTTATTTGCTTTATTTTTTGTGTTTGTTTGTTTGCTCTTTGTGTTGCTTTGTTATTTCGTTTGTAAGGTTTCTTCCTCGTTCAGCACCAAAAAAAAAAAAAAAAAAAAAATGGTATTTACTAATGACTATACTTAAAAAAAGTTATTCCTTAATTATATTATTTTTATAGTATAAATGTACTTTAAAATGATACTAATAGAATAAGAATATTTTGGAAATGTGTTTTGAATACGGCACTTAAAGTATTTTGTGTTTGAACGTTTCTTATGAGGAAAGAAGCTATGTATTTAAGAACATCTTATTCAACACAAATGAAAAGCAAGTATTATCAACTACCCACCCTACTCATCATCCTTGGCTCAAAGTCTTAAACGTCTGCTGAAATGTAGAGGACTAGTGCTTCACAAATTCTTTGAATGTTCAAGGACTTTAATTGTGGCATTTGAATATTTAAAACCTAAACCGAAAATGCAAGTAATCAACCTGAAATATTTGGTTTAGAATCAAAGCTTTAATGAAGGAAATCAAACTAAGGCTACGAAGACATTGATAGGTTCTTAAATTGTGTCATATAATAAACCACCAATAGAACCCCGTAATAAACAATAAGGCGACCCCCAAGGACTGCCCATTGCTACTCGATGACTCTGCAGATCCCTAATGAAGGTAAATTTATAGGCCAAGAAGGTTTTTAAGGCCAACATTGATTCAGTACACTAACCTTCAGTTTATGGGATAGTTTATGAGTCATAACTTTTGTTCAGATGAGATGTACGAATTCTTGTCGATGAAAATCACGAGTACTCAAAGAAATATAAATTTGCACAGATTAAACATCGTTCAAGAATCTAGTGGCGGAAAATAATAGGGACCCAAACAGACAGTGATTCGGGGTGTAGTATAACTAAGCATTGTTGTCTGTGATACTTGAGAAAGAATTTCTGCACATTTAGATATCCCTCAAGAATCGTACACAAGCAAAATTTAATGATATGACCTAGGATTAATCCCCAACTACAAGGAACCTGTTGCAGAAGACAAATCTTACCCTAGCCAAAAGTAGGAAAACTGAAATCTAGTTGATGGAAAATAACAGGAACCAAAAAATGATATTAAAGAGAAAAAAGAATTAACTATATCCCGATCTTTTGCTTGGCAGATGAGGAACCATCACCATCGGGGAGCTCATATGAAGTCCAACTTGGCCTTCGGCTTGATGCACTGAGCTGCAATTATAGGAAGGGGAATATTCTGTGCGTAGTATGTATCTTCAATTATTGAACTATATCCCATAAGACGTGAGAAGCCCACAGAACGAGCATTACTGTCCTTTCTCAACCAAAAGAATTAACAAGAGTTGTTATTTTACAGATGGAAAAAATGAATTCTTGTGCCATGCTAGTCTCCACCCTAACTCAGCTACTCCCCTTTAATTTGAGAAGCCATTGCCGAGTCTTAAACCTCAAATATCTAACCATTTGGCAAATTCTATGATGCCTCTTCCCTTCACTTCTCTACCCATTAGAAAACACACATCAGAAGCAGACATCCATTTTTATCCTGCCTTTTTTTTTTCTTCAGATTCTCATGTAGCTGACTGACGACTATGACTCCAATATGTGACAATTTCTAATAAAATCATTTGTATAGTTGACATACTTGGTCCAAAAGGGTCGAAGATGATCGAAGCCAATTGGAAGCCATGGTTTCGACTGACCGTTGTAATGAATAACTGCCGCTTTCTTCACACTCTCAAGATTTGTCTTATTCTGGTAGCCCAAACCGAGCATATGCCAAGATGGGTCAATCGGATGTACATGGCCCTTAAAAGCAATCAAAGCTGGAGGCAGAGTTCCAAGTTTCCACATGGTAAGGTTTGCATTCAAGTTCTGCACAATAAATAACATAAAATCCATGTCACACAACTCAATGCCAGTATAACAAAAAATCTATAGGACACATATCATCTGCAAATTTCTGTGCCACATTGTCTACTTATTTCAAATATGAGGATTGAAAAAAAAGCTGTCACTAAAATTAATACAATTAAACAAGGGTCATTAAAAAAGACAAAGACTGAACCTAAAAGTAGTGTGGCATGAAGGAAGTCTTAAACATATGAATTAATATATATATATATATATATATATATATATATATATATATATATATATATATATATATATATATGTATGTATGTATTTTTTTTTTTTTTTTTTTTTTTTTTGAGGCGTAATAAATTCTATATTTCTATGAACAAAACGATGAACAAAAAATAAACTCCCATTAATGGCATAAAGTAAAAAAGGTGTATGTAATCTGAATTAAAAAATATATATATATATTGACAAAGTAAGCAAGGTTATCAGAAACTATTAGCATATTGAACCCCAAAGTTTCCCATTCATTTTATTACATATATATGCATTACAATCCTTATAAGACCCATGCTTCTACAGAGCCACAAGGGAGGGAAGCTAAAAACCTAAATGTCAAACTTAGAAAGTCTTTAGTCTTTTCAAGAATCCTCCTTGATAATTTGCTTATTTTTTCAGAAAGGAGAACTTGAAAAGAAGTCTGAAAGGGCTAGATTCAACACATTACTCTTTAAAGATCAGAGCCTTCAGACCACACCCAGCCTCAACCGACCATTATACTACTACCTAAAATAAAATATTCCTATCAAACAGCATATGACAGATAAAAACAGAAACAGGAGGGCTCAGAAAATTGCAGGTTTGGTGAGCATTAGCAATGACCATCAACTTCCTATTGGTATGCCCCTTTAAGTCTCTGATTCAAATTTTGGTGGTGGTTGGGGGGGGGGGGGGTGTTGTGCGAGAGTAATGGGATGCAGATTAAACACTTCATGATAATATAGCTTTTCCATGCCCCACCATATTTCCCTCATGGCCACAGCATCCCGGCACACACCCCCCCCCCTCTCTCTCTCTCTCTCTCTCTCTCTCTCTTCCGATTCAGCATATAAACTCCAAGAATATGTAAATCAGAAACACACAGAAGAATACAATTGAGAACATTTTTAAAATTTTACCTCCTTAAGCCAAGAGTGATAAGTATCCCTTATTCTTGCCTTTCTCCACGCACGCAGATCAAATACGTTCATCCCATAGGCCCATGCACATTCATCAGGATTCAAATTCTGTGATATGAGAGGGTGGGAGAAATTGAAATAATTTCTGAATGTCTTGGACATCACCCACTCGTCTGCACCTCTACAAGTCTCTACAGCTCCATTTACCTTCCCCTCAAGGTCAATATCCCAAAGAGGAGCTAGGTCACGCTGAATTACCACATCATCATCCAAAAATACTATCTTGTCGAGATTTGGGAATAGCTGCTCCAAAACCATGTTATGAAATTAAAAACCAGCTTGGTTTACACTAACATGGCTTAATGCACCTTAAACAAGTATTAATACACACGCTACAGAGTACTCATAAAAAAACTGTTATAAGATGCACAAACAAGAAGCCTCAAGAGATATCAAATCATGAAAAGAAAATCATAATCAGCAAGGTGTTTTGCACAAGCCTGCCTAAATGGGAAGATAGTTTACAAGAGGGCAAAATAGGTGTTCACTCTTCCAATTTCCTTCAAAAGGTATTGGGGCTGGAGTGGGACAATGAGAAAAATGAAGTTTGAAGAAATGGACAGGAAGACATGAATTGACATTCACTAACAAATTCAACTTTTGAGATCAATCAGCAGATACTTATATTTAGAGTAAGATTTCCAAGCTCTCTTGCATCCACTATCCCTTTCTTTTTCAGGAAATTAGTCTTTGTGTTTCTCATATTTGTTTCAGAATTTCACTCAATCCATAAAATTTTATAGCATCAATCCCAACAAAATAAATACACAGTCATCAAAGTCAAACAAATAATGTGCCTCAGACAATTACCTCAGGTAAATAGATCCGGATATGGTTGAGCAATGAAATGTATTTTGGACTTCTCGCCTGTAATTTTGAAGCAAAAGTTCTTGGAGTAGTCTCGCTGAGATTGGCTCCTGTCACATGGTTTCCATGATAGTAATTACGTATTCCATTATGGCTCTCTATAGCTTCCAGAACTGGAATGTTCTCTCTGGTTAACCAGTCAAACTGGTGGACACCTTTTACCTCAACAATTGCAGGTGAGACAGGATTTAGAGCAAACCAAGAATGCA